TTCCATAGTATTATGTGTACCCCTTTTTTTAATCCACTAATGAACTGATGGGCACTTGGGTTGATTCCACATCTTTGTGGAATTGTGAATTTTGCTGCAATAAACATTCAAGTGCAGATGTCTTTTTGATAAAATGACTACTTTTCCTTTGAGTAAATACCCAGTAGTGAGATTGCTGAATCAAATGGTAGGTCTAAAGTGAAATTCTTAATTTGGCATTTTTAAATTAAATTCCTTATCAAAGGTAGTATTTGTTGATTACATAAAGCCATACTTCCCAAACTGGAGCACATGTTTGCCAGGATGAAGGGCACAAGGAAATTAGTCACTGTGGTAGGTGATTGTACAACTTATATTCAAATCAGAACACCGTGGAGAGTGAAAGGGGGTGATATTTGTAATGATTCTAGGAATAAAACAAGAATGTCTCAGACAAACGGGTCATAAATTCAGTTGAGCCTATGAGGAGATGTTCTGGGATCACGTGTGAAACCATAAAATAATGCATTATCCTGAAGCAACAGTTTTACCAGGAAAAAAAATGTGGTGGGGCAAAAAATACTATTTTTATGCTGAGGCAAACAAATACATATTGCACAACAGAATGGAAAATTCATATGAATGCATTTTTAAAATTTTAACAACTTTATACGGATATAACTTATACACCGTACAATTTACTCATTTAACATGTACAATATTCTGATGTTTAGTGATATGCAGAGGGTTGTACAACCATTATCACAATCCAGGTCTAAAACATTTTTGTTCTCCTTAAAAGAAACCCTGTACTCATTTACATTCACTCCCCATCTCCTCCCAAACTCCCCTACCCTACGCAACAATTAATCTATTTTCTGTCTCTATGGACTGGCATTTTCTAGACATTTCATAGAAATGGAATCATACAGTATGTGGCCCTTGTGTCTGGCGTCTTTTACTTAGTGTAATGTTTTCAGGGTTCATCCATGTTGAAGCCTGTATCAATACTTCACTCCTTTTTCATGGCTAAATAGTATTCCACTATATGTATATACCTCATTATGTTTACCCACTCCATCCGTTGGTGGACATTTGGTTTTTTCCCACTTTGGGGCCATTATGAATAATGCTGCTATGAATATTTGCCACATGAATTTTTAATATAAAACTTGAGACTCTTAAGCTTTTTCTCAGAACTTCAGGCTATGCTCCTGGATTTCAACAGTTCACTCTTGTGTGATATTAAAAATACTTTGGTAGGAAAGATTGAGAAGCAGTGTGTAAGAGTCATATTGACTCTAAGCTGGGAAACTGTATTCTCTGTCTCTCTCACTCTATCTATATACATGTATGTATATACACATATATAATTTATTTGTGTATTTATTATTAGCCTTC